GGCGCCGAGGTGGCTGCCGAAGCAATGGAGGAGACCTGAGCCTACCTCCTGGGCCGTCATTGGAAAACACGAGCAGCCCGTTTGAAAATGGAGAAAAGTGCAAGAATGCACAATGGAGGATGCAGTTAGTATCCTCCTCGACGCCACCAGTTCCAGCTATCGCCGTGATGCCATTGATCATCCCCCCAGTCTTGGTCCCAGGATGTACTCGATGTACCATGATCCTGGGACTCTTTGGACTGCATGCGTGCACGATAGCACGCCTTGCAAGCATGGCGGGTGGAGGATGCAATGAAATGGCTGTCATTGGGTACCTCGGAACTGTATCCGCAGAGTGCAATGCAACCATCAGTGTCGCACTCAGAGCGGCAACATACTACCTGTCGGGTAGCCGTCTTGCATTTGTGGCCCGTGTCCTCCTGAAGGAATGTAGGGCTGTGAATGGGCTGTATCGGTGGCGCCGGGGATGTAGTAGCAGCCGCGGGAGGTGGAGATGTAGTGGGATCCCCTGCTGGTGCAGTCCCCGAAGGGGGTGTCTTGGATGCATCCGCAGTGGAGGGTGCATCCCCATCTGATGCACCAGCCGACCCAGCACTTGATGCATCCTTCTTCGTCTCCTCCGATGGAGGTGCCTTGCTCTTGTCCTCCTCAATGGAGGTCTTGTCTGACTTCGGAGGAGAGGATGTAGTGGATGACTGCTGGAAACTCATGGCACTGATCAGCAACAGCTTCCTCTGGCCAGCCGCCGGTCCGCCCCTAATGCAACTGACGACTTGGTGGACATCAGAATTGTAAATGAAGCTCAGGGCTTTCCGAACTTCCTCGGTGTCACGGATGTTCTCCATGATGCAAAATTTCGCGGAGTAGCGAAATGCACTGCTCAGAGGGAAACTAAAATCAATGGAGCCTGGAGAATGTGAGATAAAGCCAAGCTAATGCAATCCAGTGACGGTACAAGCTAAAAGCAAATCATGAAAGTGCAAATGTCAGTCACATGATGCCTGCCATGCAACAAATGATCGTCTGAGCACTCCACTGCCGAGGTATGCAATGCAAATGCCCGCACTTGCACCAAAGAAGGAGTATTATCCAGTGATGAAACACTCGCAGTCGCAATTGCAAAGAAATGCAATGTTTTGTCAGGCGCCCGACAATGTCACGAGAGGTTCGTGAGGATGGAAATGCAAGGCTTTGACTTGCAAAATCGCGAGCCCGCAGGTGGGTGCGAAACCAAATGGAAAGTTCCCCGGCAGCCGCAAGCCGGTTTGCCTTCAATGCAAGCATGTATGATGGAGCTAGTGGTTGCACTGAGGAAAGCAATCTCCTCAGCCTCGCCCAGCTCGCCCTCCGAGCTGCTCGTTTCCGCCTCTTCCGGAGCCTTTTCAGGCAAAGCAGATGGAACCACATCCTTGACCGGTGCAGCTGATGCAGACGAAGCTGAGGGTACATCGGGCGAGGGCACAGAAGTCGGCGGAAATGTATCCAACCTGAAGAAGACTGGCAATGCAGCAGACAACACGGCCCCTAGGTCCGGAGGCCACTGCAATGCCGGCTCAAGAGGCATAAAGGTGACTCCACGCATTAATGGAGTTCGTGATCGCCAGCCTCCTCTCACTCTCTCAATGAAACTGTCCTGAGCAAGAAGTAATGGAGAGACGTCGTCTCGCCCATATAAAACACAAGAAGCAGAATGCTTGTGGTGGCCCTGAAGGTGCCTCGATTCAAGCGACATATTCAGTTGCCTGAAGAAAGAAAGCAATGTAACTTTCATGGAATGCAATGTATATTGGAGTTCTTGACCCGATGGCAGCTGGTTCCACATGACCAGCAATCGTCTGAGCCTCGAAAGGCACTCTGCGTAAGTCAAAGGTCTAATGCACTCCTTGTCCAGAAGGAAGAAAATGTAGTCCGGTATGTCTGAAGGATCGGAATGTAAATCCATAAGTTTCTCAAGAGCCACTAGCCAATGCAAAAGCCAGCATTGTGTGCGTGGCAGCCTCAAAAGGCCTGAGAAAAGGCAGCCAAAGGCCATAATTTTTTGGGTTTTCGTTCGGTAAGATGCACCTCTAAAGCTATCGAAGTCAATGTAGAGATCCGACAACTGAATGTGTTGAGAGTCGCCAAACCTCAAGCTGCACCAAATGCAAACTAGCACTGATCCCGCGAAAGCAGTCTCTTCCAATGTGAAGTGGCCGCACACGATTTGGGCCTCCAGCCACAATACAAAGGATAATGGAAGAGGTAAAGCCTCTATAGATGCACCCTGCGACTGCCATGACCTGGCATGAAACAAGCCATCATATAAGGAAGGAAAGCCCGAGGGCTGCACTGTGGAAGAAAACCATCGTACCGCCTTGAGCACATTGATGGAATGTACCGACGAGTGATGGCTGCGAGATCTCTGTAATGTATGAATTGAGTCAATGAGCTGAACCTGAGACAGGGATGTAAGGTCAAAACCCAGGTCTCGAATCGTATGCAGCAGCTGCCACAGAATTGCAATGTATCTCAGCGCCGTAGTGTCTGATACTCGGCGGAGCAATTGCTCCAAAAGGGAATGCTTGTTAGAGCTGTTGAAAATGTCACAAAGCAATGCAGAACATGATAATGCAAATTCGCACAGCTCAGACCATAACTGAAGGGCCCGGGACCATTGAGTGGAATGGACCTCGGATTGTTTGACCACCTTGGAGCTGCCCTGGTTCGCTCCTGAATGCAGGAGATCAATGCCTCTCTTGGCACCAGGACCCTTGGTCAACAATGGACCCGATTGCCGCTCTGGGGCCCCACCAGAATGGAGTGAGGTCCCTGCACCCTGAGATGGAGGCGAACTCTTCGAGAGAGCCCCCGAAAACTGAGAAGCAGAATGCAAATTCTCCGATGGGTACCGAGCATACGAACCGCGAGTAGAGGGAACCGGACGAGGCTTGGGCGCCGTTCTGGGCACCCCAATGGAGGCCCTCAGTGGAAAAATGGGCCTCGATTTTGCATGTTCCGTGGACCTGGCATTCACGGGATGCAAGCTTGTAGCCCGACCACCTCCAGCACTGAGTGTGGCTGGGCGAGCTAAGGGAGCCGGCTTGGGATGCAAATCAGCCTCCATCGTGAAAAAGGAATGCTCCTGTTGAGACAATGCCGGCAGCAACGGTTGCTCCACCTCCCTGACAGCCTCCTCAAAGGAAAGCCGACCCACACGAAGTGGGGAGAAGCGAGAGGATTCCGTAGAGCAGAATGCAGGAGTATGCTCAGGCACTGGCGAAATCACGTCCCAAGAAGTTGAACCCGAATGCTCAGCAGAAGCTGCCACAGTCTGTGCCAAAGAAGCTTCTAATGGATCTACCAGCTCAAAATCAGGATCATATATTGGTGAAGGGGGCCGCGACCCAAATGAACGGCCTTCAGGGTCCAGCTGTGGCCCATGCCGATCATCCTGGCCAGCGACGACCAACTCCGGGAGTAATGGAGCCTCATGATCAGCTTCCTGTGCAGATAAAGCCAGTGCAGGATGCAATGGATGCACCTCCAGGTCACCCTGAGAAGAAGCAACCACTGCATCAAGAACCAAAGCAGAAGGCGATGCCTCCAAAGTAGGCGAACAGTCCTGCTGAGACGAAGTCCGCTTCTGAAATCGCTTGACAATGCAACGAGTCTGCTCAGAAATCGCACTGTCGTTTCCAAGTGAAGCAAATGCATCATTCTCAGGCACTGACGAATCACTCACAGGCACTGACTGATCCATAATGCAAATGAAACGCCAAATGCACAAGAAAATCGGAAATGCCAGACTGCCTGAAACCATGCACTCCTCCCCCTATCGCGAGCGGGAGAGGAATGGAGTGGAACTAAATCCACAAAAGTTAAGAGCCTCCAGAACTGTTCTAGAGGGCTTACAAAGCGAGGCCAGTTAGCCTACAAAAGTTTTTGCCCGCTATGCAGGCGAGCTGGCAGCTGCGAGCCTGCTTGCTGCAATGCACATGGAATGTCATGAGTGCAGCAAGCATGCAAAACATTACCAAACACTCGTGAGCAAGCACACATACCGACTTGCCTCGGACCTGGAGCTCCCTCCATCAAGCGATGAACTCAGCTCTTGATCTCGAGTCTCACTTCCCCAAGCGAAGGGCGGCACGTGCCAAGGCTGAGGCCAGCATCTGGGAGGAGCGCTCTGCTCTGCGCTCACTTCCGTTGGCATTGCGGGTAGTAGCAGAGTTCCTGCCCTCACTCCAAACTCGCATTGTGTTTCGACGCTGGAGCTCTCTGTCGAAACAGAGCTCACAAGCCAGAAGTGCGAAGCGTCTCAAGAAAGAGCGTCGACAGCAGGAAATAGATTTATTTCCGAAGCACCGTGAAAACTTCAAAGGAATATGTGAAAGTTGAATATCAAAAAGTATGAATTCAACGATCCACTATTTCCAAATATAAAAGGTAAACATGAAGACTCTCTGCAATCGGACTCATCTTTTCGCAGCTGGGGCAAGGTGCTGGCAGTCTGAGTCATAGGCTCAGGGATAGGCCCACTCTCCCCCGACTCGGTGGGCACTTGCCCAAGGGTGGGAGGGCGGGACAAAAATTTTTCTGCTCGAAAAGCTTGAGGATGCATGCACGGCAACAAAGACATCGTACAACACCTCAGGCTATGATCGTCATGCACTCAAAAAGAAGAGTCATGCCGAACAGCAGGAAAAATTTCAAAGTAAAAGTTTTCACTAATTTCGTTCGAACGAAATTTGCTTTTGGAAATAAAGGTTTCATCCTTGTTAGAGGAGTTCGACCTTATTTCCGAAGCACCGTGAAAACTTCAAAGGAATATGTGAAAGTTGAATATCAAAAAGTATGAATTCAACGATCCACTATTTCCAAATATAAAAGGTAAACATGAAGACTCTCTGCAATCGGACTCATCTTTTCGCAGCTGGGGCAAGGTGCTGGCAGTCTGAGTCACCCCAATGGAAAACACTGCCGTGCCACCGCATCCCAGTCGACGCGAAGCCTTGAGCATCCAATGTTCAAGAGACCTTCGTACTCACCTCTGCTCGGGGAGTCTGCAATGTTGCTATGCGTAGGTACACGGGCGTACCATGCGTGGATTTGAAGGGAAGTTTCCTTCGAGAGGATGCCATCGATAATCACACGAGCGAGGTCGGCGCCTCCTCCCGCGGCTATTATCGAATGGCGAGCACCTTCATTATCCAAGTAAAAAACGGCTTGAGAAAATCTGCACCACTGGCCCCAGAGCCTATAAGCAACTAGGACCGGCAGAAGTTCAAGTTCGAAAATGGGATTCTGCGAGTTGCTCAACAAGATCTTCATGATATCCTGTGGGACTTGCTCACTGAAGAAGGATATCGGATGGCCACTCAAGCCCACGATCACTCCTCCAATGGATCCTAGCTTCTTCTCGCCTTCGCAGGCTCCATCTGTGAAGATAAGCCAAGAGTGATGGTTTTTGGTAGCGATGGTCACAGGCTCAGCCACCCTCAGCCTCTCGCGAATGACAACGAGGCTCTTTCTAACATCCTCGGGCAGCCTCTTCGAAGTGAGTCCCGCCCTGGCCGCTCGATCCACAGTTCGGATGGCCGAATTCGACATTCGCCCGAAAACAAACCCTTCGAAAAACACCAACCTGCCTCGGAGCCTTTCAGCGGTCTTAAGGTCGAGACAATTGGCTCGCAAGATGTCTGCGATGAACACGTTCAGTTCTTCGCGACGCTCGGCAGTGTTGCCGATTCGCACAATCCCCCGAGGTGCATCATTCAAATCGACTCTGACTCCAAGCAGTTTAAATTCTCGTGAGAACGGTGGTGCCTTTTTGCCCTCCCGAGCAAATTCAACTCCAAGAAGATCAAAAATGGCACATATGCAAGAGTCTGTGTTGGCAACAAGCTCATCGCGAGTCGTGACTCCGTAGTCATCGAAGAATGCGGTCCAGAAGATACTGAACAGCCTCACTCCTATCAGCCAGATGCTCAACGAGATACGGAGGAAAGCAGCAACACTTCCCACCGCACCGAACGGTAAGGAGTTTGCTCCCATAATCATGGGCTCCGCCTCTTCTGGTTTGTTAACTGCAAATCTGAAAAGCTCCCTGTCTGTAGGATGGATTCCAAACTGTTTGTACGCACTCTTAAGGTCGTATACACGACCTTTGCAGGCAGGCAGTCTGCCCTCATTGATGCGTAGCGCCTTGGAGATCCACGCAGCATATCTATCAATGGAATGCATTTGGAAACCATACTTCAAGCCAACGGTAGCGTTGATGCCACAAATGCTGGCATCGTCTATGACACGCACTTTGTCAAGCTGTCTGATTCCAAATCTGCGGGCCAGAGCGCAAAGCTCTATGCAACTTTTTGTGTCAGCAAAAATCCAACCCTTTTGCAGTTCCTTCTCAGTTTCCTGCCAAGTTGCCTTTTCCAAGTCTTCATCCTGCCGGACACGCATTTTCGCAATCGTCGACTGATTCAGACCTTTTGCTAAGCAACTAAGGGTGGAAACCGAAAAGGAGGGTGGCCTAACCTTCGGAGGGAAAAGCCCTCCCTGCGATAACCAACCAGACAACTTAAATCCATCACACATGTGGGTGATTAGCTGGTCATCTGGAGATCCAGCTGCTTCGTGCATTTCTTGCCACAAGAGCAACCGTTTGCCCTCCAGCAGACAACGAAGGTGCTCTGGCAAACTCCGGTGTAACTCCTCCTCTTTCTGCTCTAATTGCTTGGCTCGTGCAGTCCAATGTTTAAGAGCAGCAGCACGAGAGGTGACAGTTTGCGCCGGCGGGTCGCTGAAGTTCGCTTTGATTGCATTTACGACAAGCTTTGAGACATGTGCACTTCCGTCCCTAGGGTGGCCGGCTTGCACTGCTCTTTGCACGAAGGCTTTGGGTTCGGAAGGCAGGCCAATTCTAATCAACTCACCTTCAAGCAGTTCTGATTTGCCATCTGCAATGGAAACTTCACCGGAGGATATGCTCAAGGTCTTACAAGCCTCTTCGTAGCCCCCATCAAAGGTCAGGCGAGACAAGACCCGAGCTCCTTTAGGCAGTCCAGCAAGTAAAGATTCATCGGCCGACGGCGGGTCAGCAGGCACAGCCACGAACTTGAAGGATACAAACTCTTGCACTAAAGCAGGGTTGCGTCGGCCGCGCGGCAAGGCGTTCAACGCCAACCTGCCATCGAAGGTGGAATCGGACTCTCGAGTTTGAGAAACCGTGCCAAACTCACGAACTCCTGACTGGAGAAGGGCAGCTTTGGCTTTGGCGATGACACGTTGACAGAAAAGACTGGGCAAACCTGGAGGCGGATCGCCAGTCTTTCGCGGCACCCACGGTGCGTGTGAATGCAAGCCCGAGCACTTGAGGGCCAAGGCTGACCAATCCCCTTGTGCAGTGGCCATTTGGTAAGGCCGAGGGCGGCCGTCACCATGACAACACAGGTCACATCGGTGCAACTGCAAAGGGAAACTTTGAATCAGCTGAAGGACGAATGGATCATCCCAAAATTGCGATTTTGGAGAACCCGCTATGACAAAGGGAATTTCAAGACTGGCGGCAAGCTCACCCAAGGCGCAAAGATTTGCTGCCCAAGAGGAGCACGGTTGAGACGGCAGCTCGCACCAGACAAGAGCGAGTCGCTTTTTCTCGGCCTCGACAAGTTTTTGGAAGCTCTCCAAGTCGTTGCCCAAGTCAAGTGGTAGACACCTGACCCCATGCACGAAAGATGGGGGTGCACTGCACAGTATATGTCGCAGGCCTGCAGCTCGGGCAGCACGATGCAGATCGGCAGTGCGACCATTTACTTCAAGGAAAAGGTATTCCCCGACATGGCCTACATTTGCCTGAGAATCGGCATTCACCGGGCTTCTGGACCTCTCCTGAAGATCACGCTTGATCGGCGTCCGCACGGGCGGAGCGACGGGCCTATTTGGGCTAGAACCACACCCTGTTCCAGGCATCTTGGCGGGCACTTCGAGGGTAGAGCTGGTCTCAGCACTTGAAGTGGCAGAGCTAGCAACACCCGAAGAGGGGGAACTAAACCCAAGGGTCCTATGGGGGGAAGGCGCGGGTTTCGATGGGCACTGAAAGCCGATGTCAATCAGCCTCTGGCGATCGTCACACGGCAGTCTTTGGAAGTCCCTGACGTGGTATCCTACCAGCACCAGTCGTCGCCCCGTCCAGGGGAGTGTAGCATGATACAAGTTCCTCGCATCCAAAGTGATTTTGTTGTTTTCCCAAGACAACTCATGACCCTTCAAGACGCGTCCCTTTGGATCAGTCACCTCAATGTCACCATCACCCTCTACCCAAACGGCCCCGCCCTGAAACTCGGACAACTTCAGCAGGATGTTGCAGTGGGAGTCGTCGTTGTTGGAATCGCGATGCACCTCGGCGGAACAGTCATCTAGAATAACAAAGCTTGTAAAGCACTCGCCCGGAGCCAAACTCCGGATTTGCGCCGCAAAGACAGCGCACACATTTGGAAAAAGATTGGTATTTGAGTGAAGGCCATACAGACCCCCTTTTGCATACGCCCCGGCAGCGAAGGAGCATCCAACACTCCCCCGTGGGGGGCTTTGCATCGGCAGCAGCTCAATCAGCTGCGACAGCGAAGAATTATCGAAAGGAGCAGGCGTTTGCAAAATTGACGCGGCAAGAGACTCCACATCACTCGAGGCTCGCGAAGCTTCACTCGAGGCAGCGGGAGTCTCCTCAACCTGTCACGAGCCTCCTTTCCGGCAGTTTGGAAAGCTGTGGCCAGGCTTGTGGCATCCGGCGCAAACATGGTATCCCTTTGCACACTTTGTTCCATGGGCATCCTTCTTGGTTTCAAGCGAACACCCCTCGGCAAGGTTAAAAGCCCAACAAATGGGCCCGGCCTTGATCTTGGTGACACATCCCTTCAAAGACTCCGGTACAAGACCGGTAAGACGCTTGCGCTTCTTCTTCTTGGTATCCTTCTCAGCCAACGCTGCAGCAGCAGCCGAGTCGGTAGGGATGGAAGGCGGTGGAGCGACTTTCTGCGGCTGCGGTGCCGTAACAAGATGAACGACTACGCGAGGGTCTTTGGCCAACCGCCTCAAAGCAGCCGCCATCACCAGCTCGCCAGCCGCATCCTTCACCCCAATTGGTCCCTCGATCTCACGGCTCATCAGTGTCCAAGCCTCCCGGTCTGCCCGAATGACCTGGGCGATCGCGGGCCTGGCTCCTGACACCGGCTCTCCATGAAGATAGGACATAAGGCTCTGTACGTACCACTCATGGTCCGACCAGCCGATGAGGCTGCACTGATCCAATGCCAACCCTCGCGTCTGGAAGCAATACAGAAGCTGCAAGGCAGTGGTTGTATCAGCATCAGGCAACTTGCTGCTCGAACTGACCTTCAAGGTGCCTGCCTCAATTTGTACCAACGAGGTTTTCTCTTTCCCTAGCTGTTGCACCTCAGCATCACGCTTAGTGCAACGCGAGGGGCTGATCCAAGTAATGCTGTTCGACTCTGACATCAGGGCACAAGCATCTACCAGCGCGTAGCTGGGCTGCAGCTCTCCCTCTATCAGCAGCCCGGGAAGTCGGGCCTTCTGCGAGGTCAAACGCGCTTGCTTTTCAACATGCGGCAGCTTGCGACCTGCAAGATCGGAATCATCCGCCGTCGCCTGTGCTCGCAACTGTGCCACTACAAGTGTAGAGGCCTCGAAGATAAGCATGCGAACATTTGCAATTTGTCCGATCGTAGGCTGAGTACCCTCGGCACACTTGTAAACCTTAGCCGCAAGGTCCTTCAGAGAATCATCGGACGGTGGAGTTTGTGGGCTCCCCAGTGCAAATGCCAACTGACGCAGCGTCTTCACTCCATTGGCCTTTAGAGACTCGAAAAGGGAGTCATCCCCCTCCACGGGCAGGCACCTTTGTTTGAGCGAAGCCTCACTGTCAATTAAAGCCATCGCGCGGAGAAAGGCTATGATCGTCATGCACTCAAAAAGAAGAGTCATGCCGAACAGCAGGAAAAATTTCAAAGTAAAAGTTTTCACTAATTTCGTTCGAACGAAATTTGCTTTTGGAAATAAAGGTTTCATCCTTGTTAGAGGAGTTCGACCGAACAGCTCCAGCAGTCTGAGTTTAAGTCCCAGCAGGATGCAGCCACTCCCTTTACAAGGTCATCAAACGGTTTAGATCAGGGAGGCCTCAGGATAAAGTTCAGCTCAGGGACTCTGAGGGTCGCTTCCTCACTGCTTCCGAGGAAAGAAGACAGCTAGAGGAGTATTCTAGAGATCTCTTTGGAGCTGGGGCAGACTTTCCGTTATCCGGCGTGCAGGGAAGCCTGAACATCACAGCGAACGAGGTTACGGTTAAAGAACAGCTCGGCACGATCAAGTTAGGCAAAGCAGCTCCGAGAGACAATCCTCCAGTTGTTGCTTGGCGTTCCCTAGGTCCTCAAGCAATTCAACCACTGATTCTCTCAACCAAGAGGTCTCTGCAGGTTCGCTCTCGGATGGCATGACCTCCTCGCAGATCTCATGGCTTCCAAAGCCACCTAAGATGCCGGACAAACCAGCCTCCCTACGACCCATTGGGGTGATAGCCCCGGAGGGCAAAATATTAGCAGGGTTGGTCACGAAGAGACTCAAGGCCACACTTCAGCGGGCCATGTCTGGAGTCTCCCAGTTCGGCTTTGTTCCAGGAAGGGGCACAGAAGAAGCGATCTGCAAAGCTCTAACACATGTAGACCAGGCAAGATTCAGACAAGCTAATGCCACAAGGGCAGCAGGTAAGGGCCAGCAAGGTCTCAAACTCAAAGGCAGCCTCACAATGAGCGTAGACATGAGTAAAGCTTTCGACACTGTAGACAGGCTCCGGCTGAGGGAGGCTCTGGAAGCAGAACAGGCCGATCCACTCTTAGTGGAGGTAGTCGGTCACCTACACATCAAGGCTTTGTACCGGATGACAGCCAATGACCAAAGCTTTGAGATAGCCACTCGTCGGGGCATCAAGTAAGGCTGTAAGCTAGCCCCCTCCCTCTTCGCCTTCGCCTCTGGACTTCTCTTCAGGAAGCTAGCTGGACACATCAGTCAAGGAGAGCTAGTCAAGCTCTTAACAATGTATGCGGATGACAGTTTGATCCAGTCACACTTCGACTCCGAGGCTGGGATAATGATCGCGCTTAGCTACTGCGATCTGCTTCTAGATTCTAGATCAGCTGGTCGAACTAGGCTTCCAGGTTAGTCCAAGTCCGCGATATTGCTGCAGCTTCAAGGGGGTTCCGCCTCGACAATCAGGAAGAAGCTCTTTCGCACTGTAGAGGGTGTCAAGTACGTCTAGCTCCCGTCAGGAGACTGATCTCCCTCTGGTACCAGGTTCCGTATCTGGGAGTAATTCTCTCATATCATGATTACGAGATGCACACTCTCAAGCACCGCCTCTCAGCCAGCAAGCTAGCAATGTCAGAAGTCGCGCACGCGGTCAGAAATCATCGAGCTCTATCGGACAGACGTCGCCTGTCGATCTGGACCATCACGGGATGGGCCTCAGCGTCGTATGCCTTGCACGTGGTGGGGCTCACTCAGCAGGGCCTGCAAAAGCTCCATTCTCACATGATGTATCAGCTCAGATTCGTCCTGCGGAGCTACTCCCAGGAGACGAAAGAATCTAACCAGGAGTTACTCCGGAGAGTTAGGATTCCTCATGTGAAGGAACAGCTGCAGAAACGAATGTCACAGTTTCTGAAGCGCCAGCAACACTCAGATCCGCTGCTTCTCCCGCATTATAAGGCGAGATCTGAAGCTGTCAGTCAGGATCTGGCTCATCTCTCCACTGACTTCTCCACTACCCAGGTAGAAGATAAGCTAGTCACTTGTCAGGAATTTGACGTGTGTCTGTCTGGCACAGGGGCGCTGCGTCGTCATATGTACAAAGCACATCCAGAGTCGCAGCAGAGCCTAAAGGGGGCCAAGTTTGTTTGTAGGAACCAGCAAAGCGACTGGCAAAAGAAACGTATCAAGGAAAACATATAAATCGCGAATCAAATATCTTTCCAATATAAATCAATCGAGGCTTCGGACAGAGGACTCATCATTTTTCTCGGATGTCCAGTTCGCGCCGTAACAGCGAGCCGAGACCGGATCCCCATTCGGGGACCGGCCTCCACCCATAGCTCAAACGAACATCCCACCGGCGCAAGGTAAAGTTCCAGGGCGGGACGGGTGGGACTAAAACTTCTAAGCTCCCTCCTCCGGAGCCTCTACTTCGCGGAGATAACCGAATCAGTCATCAGAGCACTAAAGCAGTGCAAATCGGCATGTGAAAGACCTACAGCAAAATCTCATGAAAGAAGCGTGCGGAAAATCGGAAAGGAAATCGTACTGATAAAATCAGTTAAAACTTTCTTTGGGACCCGCCCTCCTCCCCTTTGCATCCTACAAACCCCTTTGGGGAAGCCCAAGAAGCTTTCTATAACCAGCAAAGCGACTGGCAAAAGAAACGTATCAAGGAAAACATATAAATCGCGAATCAAATATCTTTCCAATATAAATCAATCGAGGCTTCGGACAGAGGACTCATCATTTTTCTCGGATGTCCAGTTCGTGCCGTAACAGCGAGCCGAGACCGGATCCCCATTCGGGGACCGGCCTCCACCCACCATCGCGAGGATCGCTTTACCACTTCGTCTTAGTGGCCAGCTTCTGTTTCTTTGTCAAAGGAGCCGGAGGGGCACTTCCTTCTCCCCCTTTTCGCCATTCGAGCATTTCAGAATGAAATCTTGCCAAATCAAGAAGGAGCTTGCGCGGCACATCAGAAAATTTTGCATCAATCCGAAGAGCTAAATCGAAGGCACTGAACCGTTCATTCGTCAAGTCGTCCGCCTCAGAGTTGAGCTCACGCGGTCGCCAGTTCAAGTTCATATGGCCTCCGCAGCGGAACAAATCGTACTCCAGCTGCATATATACATACGTCAATGGGAATTTCGTGGTTCCCTGACGGCGCATGACCAGCTCGTTCGCCAGATTGTCCGTCCCCGCAGAGACCGTGAAACTCTGCCCAGTCACATTCAGCCATCCGAATATGTGCAGCCCCAGCCACGTGGCAAGAAGCTCGGCAACGGTGCTCGTTCCTTTCCCAGTCCCTTGCGCACTAAACAAGAAAGGATAATCAGCAGCAGAGACCCGGACAGAAAACCAACGGCACTTCTTTGGCTCAAAGCTGTGCAGTGTTTCCCATCCACCCAGCACGAAGAAATCATCCTCTGCCTTCGCGTCCGTGCGAACTGCTTCGCACAGCATCAAAGGTGGCGACTTACAGCAGACAAGATAATGCTTCTCTTGCAGCAACGTCAAGATGTAGCGAAGAACCACCATCACCATACGGGGAACCAGAGCCACAGTTCCCGGAGTGATAGCAGCTTTCCAACGGTGAAGCGGTCCCATAAACGGCCGGAGCCAATACAGGACTTGTCCAGCGTAGACTAATCGCCCCACAAATTCAGTGAAGCGCCGATGCTCAATCATCCCTCGGCCCCTCTGCAGATCCGTGATGAACTCGATGAGCCAGTTCGCCCGACGCTCCGACAGTCCCACTTTGAACCGAAAGTAATCAAAGTAGAAACCAACATAATCCAAGCAAACTCCCCCGCGAAACTTAGACCACATAAAAGGAGTGCCAACCATAAGCCAGTAGAGGAGCACCACCCAAAGGTCGTGGTACTTCTGTTCTCCACCTGCCATGATCTGCAGGTCATCCGCGAAGAGCATCTGGAAAAGCGAGGCTTGCAGTGCAATGCGAAGGGCTCCACGGCCTATCAGCCCAGCCAGTCTGGCGAAGTGATAAGCAGCGCAGGCCACACCGAACGTTCCCACCCGGTTGATCCAAATCGGACCGTCTGGCCTAGCCCGGCATCCAAGGCAACCATGATCTTCGGGTGCATGCTTGTATCTCCGATGTGCCTTTGCAATGTCCGCAGCGATTCCAATCAGGAGTCGATGACCATCCTGTTGCTGGATTTCCATTGCCCTCGCTGCATTCGAAGGTGTAGGGAATTCAAGCTTATCAGAGATCTTAATCATGTTGTTCAGCTTGACGGAGCGAATGCCGTCAAAGAGGGCTCGTACTGAGCCATCATCCTTTATGATAGCTCCGAGACTTGCCACTCGCAGCGTCTCCCCAAACCGCCGCCGCGCCTCCTTCTCAGACAATGGGTACATGAATCCAAAACCCTCCTCCTCGAACTGCTTCTCTAGCTGCTCAGGAACGGCCTTGGCCTGGAAGGGTGGGAAAATTCGATTCTTGGTTGTGACTGTCCTCCGGGCCACAACTGCAGGTGCAAAACACTGTCAAGTGTTCAAGAATAAAACTTGGCCGATATTGCAAAGGATAAGATGCAAAGAATTCTCACAGCATGAAAGGCTCGACGTGAGAAAAGAAGGTCTGCGCCTCACAACATGTAAAATGTTCAGTGTGAGAACAAAATTTTCTACGGCAGTTTTGCATCGCTGTTTAGCGACTATATATCAAAGACAACATGATCACATTCGTGAAATAGTCGTCTTCGTGATTTACAAAACTGCAATGTATGGCCTTATATGTAAAATACACGCAGAAGTATAATCCGCAGTGTATTCCCATACGAAGTGAAACGAACCATATCGTTGCAATCCATATAGGATGCTTCCATATAAATCAATCTCCGAAAATTCGAAGGTCAATCATAATATTGCAAAGTTCTGCAAAGCACTCGGACTCTCTTCATTTTGCGTGAGCGACGGAACAGGGGAGATCAAAAGCATGCAAACCGCTAACGTCCGTGGCACACACGCCCTTTCGCAACGAGCCACAGCTCAAGGGCACCACAGGACCCGTTTGCCCCCTCGCAACGTCCGAAGCTCAAGAGAGGTGAAAGGCAGGAACTGGGCCCTTGAAGTGGCAGGTAAGAAGGCTCCAAGGTAGAGCACCG